ACCACATTTGACAACAGAGAACGGACCAGATTAACATGAATTTTCTTTTACCGTGAATTCATCAGAAATACTAGGAACAATCCCTATATATTCTGGAATACCCAGTAACAACAACAACCATTATTAAACCGAAAACCTTCTTCGTAGGCCCACCGATGAACTACATTTCCATCTTCACACCCTTCTTCACCTCCGGTTTGTTGCGGAACACTCCACGCTTATTCTTGCCCTGAACAGCAGATCATCATTATTCTCGTCTTATAATGAAAGTCTAATCATAAAACGACTGACTTGTGACTTTTTTCCCCATTCGCGCGATTTGTAACCCGCGGCGCGGAGCGCTATTTGTGATAGCTGATCAAGGTGTCAACATCACTCCCCCCTAATCTACGGCAAATTTTAAGATGGGAGAGGGAGACCATACTAGAGAATCGTATTCCCACAACGTGGTACTGTACCCTGACGTTGAGGACAGCTACATTCAGAGCACTCAGTGAAGAACAGAAGCGGCAAATGCGCAACCAAATGGCAAGACTACGCAAGAATTCATGGTGAACCCCCAAGTGGGGAAACTTAATAATAGGGAATAATTAAAATCAGAAATGTCGAGAACATTCTACCTTGGTAACCTTTTTAGTATCCACGATGATTTGTCTCTCACTCTTCTTGATAACAGGTCGATTTTCCGGATCTTTCACTTTGTAGATACGTACTAGCCAGTTTTCTGATGTGAACGCTTCTTCAATGTACTCCAATGTGATATCCTGAAGAGTAAATAAAATTAAAAAAGAAATTTCTAATGGGAAAGAACCCCAACCTTCTTCCCAATCACATATCCACGGGTTCGATCGAATCCGTCCTGGTTGTATCCCATACGTACATCAGCGAAGCGATAGTATGACATTTTGTACATCAAACAATTCAGCATTGTCTCCGATGCCTGGGCTCCTACGCTGTACTCACCCGATTCCGTGAAATAGTTGGATTCCTAGAATAAAAGGAAATGATGGTTGCAAGATGAGGGACGTTCCTGATATCTATCACCTTAATCTCCTTCGGATGTTCTCCTTCAGCAATTCGAACCATCCACAAGAACTTATTAATATCGTCTCCGGAATAACCTATTACTCCGCCGAAAATCACTAGGACATAATCAACATCCAGTTCTCGCATAATTTCATACGCCACTGGCTCACTTGATGACATCGCTTTTCTAACTCTGAAAGAGACGTACCATGAATCCACTACAGACCTACAATGACATTCCTCCCCACCCCGCTAAACCAGCGAATCAAGCGCACACATAAAAGATACCCGAATCAGGGCACGACTTGCGTTGGGGATCCACCTGTCTGGGGAGAGGGCCATATTCGCCCCTAAGATCGATTTTCAGTTGCTGACTTTTCTCGGTTTTTCTTGCTTCGATTACGCTATACCCCCACCTCTCGACCGGAGTTTATTTTTCTTAGGGGGAGGGCTGGGAGGAACTAATTTTGAGAAATAGGGCAAAACCCCGGGAAAATGGCAGGGAATTGAAAGAATTTAGGGAGATGGTAGGTAGGATAGGGGACGCGAGAGGAGATTGGGGGAGGGGGAGGGGGAAATACCACTCGGACAAATTTCGAGAGTGGGTCGTATTCCGCAAAAAAAAACTTCTTAATGGCAGGACGTGCTGCGACCCAAATGAAGATGCCCCCTCCCGGAACAGTTGCTGCATAAAAAGCCTCATCATTTCAATATCTCATGCATGTTATAGTAGCATTAGAGTTAGTATGCAGCTGTCCTTGTCAAAGTGTCAAGGCAACTTGTGTGGAAGGCACTCAGAAAGGGTTTAAAGGAAAGTTTCTCAACGAAAATTTGCTCAAGAGGGCAAGTGGCGGCGTGACCAAGCGCCTTTCTGCGAGCCCTGACATAATAATGCGTAAACTCTGCTCTGCCTTCCTCTAAGATTGAGCTTGCGGACAGGACGGGATCACTTCGTCGCGTCGCCGTGCGCCCTCCACCCCCGCCCTCCTCCCTAACCCACGAAGCCTTCAACCTAGCTCTTTAGCTCTTTTACATCTTTCAAAAAAATTGCGAAACCAATTTCTTTGACGAACCAAAGCAATATGCGAATTATTCCAGGTATTGTTGTCAACCAGCGTAGTTCGATTGGCCATTCCAGCAATCTGATATCCATAATCCCACCACGACATAATTCTGGCATCATCAGCAGTGTTTTCACTCAACCAATGGTATGCCTCGCGGAAATCGTCCATAATAATACGATCACTGCAAAGAAAACCAAGAAGTCTTATGAATAATGTGATAACGATAACAACTTTAGGCGCATTTCGGCTTGG